CACACACACACACACACACACACACACACACACACACACTCTGCACACACACACACACACACACACACACACACACACACACAAAATCAGTTTAATGTATGTATATCTTCCTTTGATGCTTTTTATTCCAAGTACTTTTTGGGTGTCTGGGTGAGCAACTCTAAGACGTGCCAAATAGTTGGTGGCCCTTTGTTGGGAGTGCAACACTATTATTAGGGGCCATGGTTTGGTCAGGATGTTTGCACCCACATGTTCCTTGGTTGACATCGTTGTCTCCCATAACTGTTGATTAAATTATTGGCTAACAGTAACATCAACTTACATGTGGGCCCGACTCAATGATGTATCTCAGGGGACGCTGGACCCGCTTTCCAGCAGGTGATAGCTCCCCACCCATAGACTGGTGCCCCCTGCAAGACAGGGGTAGGTGTGCATGCTCTTACCATCACTCCTATCCGTTGACGCGGTTGGATTTTTTGAAAGAAAAAAAAGAAAGGAACCTTACATGTGTGTAGTAGTGTACCATTCAACTACAGGCAACAGGAAGGGGGGAGGGGGAAGGGGGAAGGAGAGATCAGGGAGGTGGAGGTGGCGGGGGGCAGGGATTGGGTAAGTTCATTAACTTCCATTTTGTGTGCTGTCAGCGTCGTGTCTCTGCATGGCTTCTTATGCTCCTCCTCCTCCTCTGCACCACCACCCATAAATGACAACAACAAAAAAAAAAAGGCAGCGAAGGCCTCGGAAAGAGTGCAAGCCATGAAGATACCATACCTACACTTTGCACTCACCCATTCTGTAATAGCTACTTTCCCTACCGTCTTCACCTCAATGCCTGGTCATTATCACTGCATCTGGACTGAAAGTTGTGCCGAATACAGCTATAATGACTGGGTGTTCTATTCGGGTGAAGACGATAGTACAGCTAATGGCCAAAACTACAGTCTTCCCCCGAATACAACGTATGGTCATTACAGCTGAATTTAGACCGAAAGATGCACCAAATTTGGCAATAATGACCGTGCGTTGTATTCGGGGGAAGACTGTAGCCTAAAACTTGCTAAAATGTAAAGCAATTTCAGAAAAGAAGGAAAAACAGGATTACTGAAGCTATGCTCTGCCCACATGGTAGAAACCCACCCAGTGCGAGCCACAGCTATCAAAGCTACATTTCCAATCGCACGGACAGATTGTACCCCTACCTGCAGGCTCGGCAAAAATCGGCGCGCAGGCGAAAATGAGGATCGGTCCTCAACAACCGGTAGGCACTGGTGGTTTAAACCCCAGTACACCCGCACCTAAAATCCCGAAGCTACCTGCCCACTGCGCGCCGCTATTTTCCGAGCCTTCTGCGTGAGGGTACCTGCAGTGGGAATTTCGGAAGTGGCACCGGTGCTGGCGGTCTACCTGAAGGGAARAAAAAAAAAAAAAAAAAGAAAGGAACAAACATGCCAGAGATCAATGATGTCGTGGAAGGACGTCATAGAGGTCATAGGGGCTCGTTAGACACTCCGCGGGCGCGTAAATCCCCGAGGAAAATTTTGTTCCACCTATCCTCGGGGATGAAAAAGAAAAAAAAAAGTGAAAACATTTCCTTGGGGAATCCTCGGGGCGTCCTTGGGCTACAACCATTTGGTGGCATTCCCCAAGGGACCTCCCGAGGTCCCTTGGAGGTCAAGGATCCGTGATAATCGGAGCGGCGAGGGCACCCGTCGTCGGCAAGAAATTTTCGTCGGCTGGTCCATTGGAGTTCCTACCGGGCAGCGCACAGACGTCTTGGGTCTTCAACGTTCGGCTTCCAGGAACCTTACGCCAACGCTAACCGTTGGTGGCCGGCCGCCCCCCGTGGACTTGTCGACCAGTGTTCTCCCTTGCAGTGTGTGCCGCCAAACGGAAAGGGGTCGAACAGTCGACAAATTTAAATACTTCGGCTGATCCCCCTTGCTCCAATTGCCCACTATATTCTGCGACAAAAAAACATTACAAGGCGTTTGCCCCATGCTGCGGTCTGCCGTTTGCAGCCCTCTTCGTCTCCGTTTGCTGGAGGTGTACCGTCGTCGTCTAGCTACCGCCCTTCCCCACTTGCCTTTCATGGCCGACGTCTTTCGAAGGCTGCCGCTGCTGCTCCTGGTCATCCTTTTGCTTGTCCTTGTCGTCTTCTTCCACGTCTGCATCCTCAGCAGGGTGCCCGGACGTAAATGTAAGAGGTGGTCAGCGAAGAAGGACGTCGACATGGACGGCCGCCAGGCGAAGAGCAGGTCTTCAGTGGACCACTCCAGAAGCCATCGCGCAGGCCATGGCCCGGCTCGCTGTGCAAGGGCGTACGACCCGTTAGACTGCGTGTGTCATATGCTGTCCATCTGCTCCCTTCATCGTCGCCGTTCGGTGAACCTTCACCGTCGTCGTAGAATTACGGCCCTGTCATACGTGTTGTCGATGGCCGACCTCTATTGAAGGTTGCCACTGCTGTTCCTAGTCACAATTTTGTTTGTCGTGGTCCTCCCATCCCACGTGTGTTTCCTCTCTCATTGATGACCGACCACTATCGAAGGCCTCCAGCAGAGAAGACGAGGGTTCGACACCGACTACAGTCGACATCGACATCCGCAGCGCATCCCACAGGCGTTCGTCCACACTGGATGCAATCGCCATCGCCCGAAATACACGTGGCGACGTACGCAGCTTCTCCCAGGAGTACTCCTCCATCGCATCATCGCATTGCTTGAGATCCTCCCACGCCCCCCCCCGTCTTCCTTTTCATCCACCACCTCGACGAGTCGACGTCGCTCGTGGAAGAACACTGCAACCCATGATGTAACAAACCTGAACTGCAGCCTCGGTGATGGCCACGGTATCCAGCCCTTTGACTGAGACTTGATCTGCGCTCCCATTCTGCCCAATGCCCTCGCCTGCTGACAATGAAAGAGCACGGCCATCACGGCCGCCGCCACGGCCGTCTTCTCGATCGTCGTCAACTTCGCACGTCCGTCGTCGCTGCTGCCCTCCATCGGCACGTGTGTTGCAATGCTCATGAACCACGAAAATACAACAGCCTACCAACTCGGCACGACCACGGTAATCTCAGCGCCAAGTCCCCGACAGCATTCCCCGGGTGTTCTCGACTCAACACATAGGCGCGGCAGTATGCAGAGGCGATGGTGATGGACCTTCGCGGGGCGCTCACAAACTTGTGACAACGTACGACGACTCCACTGCACCGCTGCAAATACCCGTTTCCACCGTCACGGATATGGATGCCACCTGCCCTGCATCATCATCGTGACGTCCAGCACCCAATTTGAAATTTGATTTTCGAACGGGGAGGTCCATTGCTTCTTAAGGGTTTTATTTTCCCGGTCGCCAGCGCCTTTCAAAATTTCCCGCCTTCGGCAGCTGGGCCACACCATCGCAAGACGGACATCACCCAATGGATCAAGGCATTGGCCCCCCCGCGGCTGACTATAATATTATGAAAATAGCCGCCCGCGGCCGAAAGAAATCATCCTTGGGAGACCACCCCACGGATAGGTGGAACGACGGCGGGAATTTCCTTCAAAACCCCCAAGGAAACTTCCTTGGGTCCCGAGGACGCCCCAAGGAGTGCCTAACAAGCCCCATACTCAAATGATGACTCTCCAGAATGCACCTGACCACTATTGTGGGGAGAGGGAAACGTTGCTGTTTTTTCTTTTTTCTCCTCCAGAATGCATCTGACCACTATTGCGGGGAGAGGGAAACTTTGCTGTTTTTTCTTTTTTTCTCCTTTGTTCTTTTCTTCCTTTCCCTGCCAGCAGGGCAGCGCATATTCCTCGTGCTCAAAACGCCCTCGCTGAGGGCATACTCCACTAGCGCCGTTGAAATGCATCCAACCACTTTCACGGCCAAAGCTTTGTTGGCTTTTTTTTTTTCTGTTCTTTTTTTGTGTCTGACAGTCGTGCTCCGCGTGTTCTTCGTTCAGCCTAAGTACCCTCACTGCGGGCAGACTCACACGGAGTACTCCAAAAAGTGTATCCAACTGCAATCACGGCCAAAGCTTGTTTTGTTTTTCGGGACGTGCGGATTCGACATGGGCCCAAAAATTTGGAAACCTTCTGACACTCTGACCCTTCCCCGAGCCTGCTTTTTACTTCTTGTGGCGACGAGTTATTTGCTGCAAGTCTGAGGCCATGTACTGGTGGTTCAAACCACCAGTACTTGGCCCAGCTGTTGGCCACAGAAAAAAAAAAAAAAGTAGAAATGTTGCTAGTCGGATGAATTTGGGCCCTCCTGTTGTGGCCCGTACATTTCCTAAAATTGTGGCTTGTTAATGGGCACGACTTTAGCAAGTACTGGTGGTTTACGATAGATCTGTACTAAGGAAGATTCCCTGCATGACATTGCACAGCCCTGCTAAGACTTGGATCCCACAACGTGTTTTTAACAAAAAATCGGAAAAGTCCCGTAGGAGCAGGAGCCTTCCCGTCCACGCCGTATAATTATCTCGTACCCCATTTGCCCGACCTTCCAGGGTGTCAACGGCAACTGTGCCGATATGCGTTGGGGTGCGAGGGACCTGCGCGGTTCCCTTGGTCCGATATTGTGTCCGACGCCGTCGTGCTGCTGTTCCCAACGTCCCACATCCTCGTGTGTGCGGCGTCGAAAGGCCTCGGTGCCAATGTCTCACTCCGCAGGGCCGATTTTCGTCCCTCCCCTTCGATGGAGTGCATGTGGAACGTGGGTCCACATCTGGCCGCCATTGTTCCGCAGGCTCTCCGCACTTCAGTCTGCCGCCGCCTACCGACGTGACAGCCGAACACTCTCGGCGGGTTTCGTAGATCAAAAATGACAATGGGCGACGGGGACCTACAGCCTTCCCAGATCGAACAACCCCAACGGCTGTGCAAGGCCAGGGGTCGCCCTACCCGTACCAGTGGTGGTGCTCTGGCGTCCACAAGTATGAATTGGAGGTTGTGTGGGAATATTGTCGCGTCGCACAGCCTCAGGACCACGGACATTCCAATGGTCCAAAAAAGAATTAAAAAAAAAAAAGTTCACATATATGTGCGCCAGCTTTCAGGGGGCATGGAAAAACTGTGTCGTTTCGCGCCGGGTGTCGCGGCCTGATTGACACGATGCGCATAGTGAGTAGAAACAGCCGAATTTCGTTTCGGGTCCCGAAGGCCCCGGTACATTGTGGGATCCGAATTCGGACCCGAAAATGGCCTCACTAACAATAGTGGGATCCAAGCCTAATACCCGGTTCCAGCAAAACTGCACTATTAAACTACCAGTACTTCCTAAAGTCGTGCCTGTTAACAAGCCACAATTTTAGGAACCGTACAGGCCACTACAGGAGCGCCCAAATCCATCCAACTAGAAACGTTTCTACTCTATTTTTCCCCACGGCCGATAGCTGGGCCAAGTACTGGTGGTTTAAACTGCCAGTACATCTGAGCTGCTTCTGTACGAGGCGGGTTGCCCCTGCATGCCAAGCTTTGCCGAAATGTCAGCATGGCGTTTCTGTTTTCGTTTGGCGCGCCGCCAGCTATTTTGGTCCGGTTGCCCCAAGCCTCCAAATTTTCGCAGAGAGCCTCTCGTTGTTCTTAAGTTGCCTGGGGCCATGCACTGGTGGTCTAAAGCTATAATCCATACATAGTATAGAACCTGGCCATGTGAAGCCTTACCGTAGATTGATCCTTTGATTCCTTTCTCATTAATTTATAATTGGGACTGAAGAACTGATGACTTAAACTAGCGGTTCGCTGTCAACACCTGATGTCGTTTCTCCTGCCTACTGTCCCCAATGAGTTGCGTACAAACCCACCTTTTTCAATTTCAATTTGCCTCTTGTCCTGTCGGAGGATACCAGTGTTGAGTAACTAGAGTCGTTGCGTGTGGGGAAATTTAACCACAGTACACTGCAGCCGTATCGAGCTTCAAACCAGTGCATTAAGCTATGGTGTGGACCGTGCATTAAACTACGGTTAAAGTTCCGTCAAACTATGGTTTGACCATTAAACAAGGGGGCCATGGGTCATTTCGGCATACCAGACCAAATATTAAGCTGAAGGCCTCTGGTAGGCCCAACCCCAACCCCAAGATGATTTGTACGTCCAGGATCGGGCAAAAGAGAGGCTCGGAAACGTTGGTGCAGATGTGGCACATAAGACTCTTGAAATTCCTTTTTTGTCTTTTCTAATCCCTTTTCCATTTGTCCTTCAAATTCTTAGCCTGGTTCGGTTGATAGAGAGCAAAACAAGCCTGGTCCTGGTCGCAATGGACCCGCACGTGCAGACGCTCAAGTGCATGACCCCTACGAGGCTACGATTAGGATGAGCAGATATCCAGGGGCATTCACCCAAATAGAACACCTGGTCGTTATCGCTGCATCTGGACAGAAAATGGCCCCAAATACGGCTATTATGGCCAGGGGGTAGTAGTTTCGACCTTTGCGAACACAAAAGGGATGTTTACATGAGTCACCCTAGACCCTAATCAATAACGAGGAGGTGCCCAATTGCATGACCTGCACCTGCAGAATAAGCAGACACCCAGACTGTGCGTGACCTAGGTGCTTTTTTTTTTTTTTGAAACAAGTGCCGTAGTACCACACTTTCGAACTGTAAAGGCAAAAAAAACATGAATGGGCAATGAAAAAATGGCCGWAGTTCGAAAAGGCAGAAATAACAGCAAAAGGCGGTAACATCAGGCCCCGAGTTCGAAAAGGCAGAAATACCGCATTTTGTAGGCCGTTTTTTTTTGTTTTTTGGTCGGTCCGACGCACGCCGCGCCGCGGCTGGAAGGAACAAAACCAGCCCCAAGGTTGGGCCACGGCCGGGATGTCTCGGCCACACCCCACACTGTCTCTTATACACATCTAGATGTGTATAAGAGACAGCACACACACACAAAATCAGTTTAATGTATGTATATCTTCCTTTGATGCTTTTTATTCCAAGTACTTTTTGGGTGTCTGGGTGAGCAACTCTAAGACGTGCCAAATAGTTGGTGGCCCTTTGTTGGGAGTGCAACACTATTATTAGGGGCCATGGTTTGGTCAGGATGTTTGCACCCACATGTTCCTTGGTTGACATCGTTGTCTCCCATAACTGTTGATTAAATTATTGGCTAACAGTAACATCAACTTACATGTGGGCCCGACTCAATGATGTATCTCAGGGGACGCTGGACCCGCTTTCCAGCAGGTGATAGCTCCCCACCCATAGACTGGTGCCCCCTGCAAGACAGGGGTAGGTGTGCATGCTCTTACCATCACTCCTATCCGTTGACGCGGTTGGATTTTTTGAAAGAAAAAAAAGAAAGGAACCTTACATGTGTGTAGTAGTGTACCATTCAACTACAGGCAACAGGAAGGGGGGAGGGGGAAGGGGGAAGGAGAGATCAGGGAGGTGGAGGTGGCGGGGGGCAGGGATTGGGTAAGTTCATTAACTTCCATTTTGTGTGCTGTCAGCGTCGTGTCTCTGCATGGCTTCTTATGCTCCTCCTCCTCCTCTGCACCACCACCCATAAATGACAACAACAAAAAAAAAAAGGCAGCGAAGGCCTCGGAAAGAGTGCAAGCCATGAAGATACCATACCTACACTTTGCACTCACCCATTCTGTAATAGCTACTTTCCCTACCGTCTTCACCTCAATGCCTGGTCATTATCACTGCATCTGGACTGAAAGTTGTGCCGAATACAGCTATAATGACTGGGTGTTCTATTCGGGTGAAGACGATAGTACAGCTAATGGCCAAAACTACAGTCTTCCCCCGAATACAACGTATGGTCATTACAGCTGAATTTAGACCGAAAGATGCACCAAATTTGGCAATAATGACCGTGCGTTGTATTCGGGGGAAGACTGTAGCCTAAAACTTGCTAAAATGTAAAGCAATTTCAGAAAAGAAGGAAAAACAGGATTACTGAAGCTATGCTCTGCCCACATGGTAGAAACCCACCCAGTGCGAGCCACAGCTATCAAAGCTACATTTCCAATCGCACGGACAGATTGTACCCCTACCTGCAGGCTCGGCAAAAATCGGCGCGCAGGCGAAAATGAGGATCGGTCCTCAACAACCGGTAGGCACTGGTG